TTATGACAAAAGACATCGAAATTTGAAAGGGGCATGACTCATTAATGGGGTGATATCTTTGGGGGTATATTGTCGAACAATGCACTGACCCGGCTGACCTTTGCTGGTTCTGCCGATAATAAGCATAGTTGTCCATTATGAACTGATAAATTTCAGAGAGAGTAAGCATTCGAGATTCCGATCGTTGGATTGCCATAGTTATTAATGAAATATATGAAAATGGTGGCTTTGCAGTACCAATTTTTCCATTATAATTTCTCATTTGAGCCTTAAAAAAAAAAAAAAAAAAAACAAAAATTTCATATAAAACAAGGAGAATATTAGATCAAAATTGGTTTATACATTCAAAACAGCTACCAATTCATTTTGCGTCTGCTCATTGAACGAAACCCTTCCTGTCCTACAGTTTGGCGAAATTTGTGATGACGAACTGGTGCTTCCCACCGTTGACGAATTTGCATTTGATGAATTTCGCGATGAATTACCAATCGGTGAAATGCCACCAGTAACGCCAAATCCGTTGTAGGCTTGAATAGGCTTACAGATAAACATATATTGTCTTTTACACTTTTTTCCTCACTGATTTTTTCTTTTATATTTCACTATTTACATAGATTACTTTGAAAACAAAATGAAAACAAAGACAAAAAAGATTGAAATTTTATTTTGAGCACAAGCCAAATAATTGGATAAACGTACTTTGTTGAACTTGACTATTAGGATTCATATAGTTAGACGTATAATAAGAATTTAGGGTCCCATTGGCTGTCAAGCTGTTACTCGTTTGATACGGATACTGGTTATAAGCGTTTAATGCAGTTGAATATGTTGGTACAACGGCATAGTCCTGTGCTGTCATCCCCTAAAAACAAATTCTTCTTCAAATTTCTTTTTTGTTCTTTTGACTTTTACTTTCACCGCGGTTGTTTTAAAAAAAAAAATTAAAAAAATATTTCATTTACGCATAGGTCTAAACTTTTAAAAAGCAAGTTTAAAAAATATTTAATTTTTACCTAAGCGAAAAAAGACTTGAAAACATTTCAACAGAGATAGGGGAGGTAAAACCGGGGAAAGGAGGAGCTGTTCGATGGTAATGTGCATAACCCAATCAACCAATCCCCTAACAACAATTAGGCCAACATTGCTTGGAAACAACATACTGTATCCGGTCAACAGAAAAACAAATATACTCAAGATTTCAAATAATTCTTTAAACTCCAAAAAAAAGCACTATTTTTTTTTACTGCTGTGAATGTACCACCCAAAAGACAAAAACATACTATTTGTGAACTGAAAATAAATGAAAGACATCGACGTAAAAAGTTATAAAACTGTTTAACTGTGTTCAGATAATCACAGATAAAAATTGGCTATTATCATAACACTTTTTTTTAGTAGTTTTATTATTTTCTTACGGCATAAAGTGAAACAGTAAATAAGAAAAACAATTAGAAGAACAAAAATAAAGAGAAGTAAAAATAAGAAAGTAATTTTTGCATTAAACACCAGAAGTGTCATCTAAGCTGAAAGTTGATAAGGGCCTCATTCATTGACGAAGCGTACCTCTACACTTTCTTTTTTTTCCCTTCCCCCTCGCCTTTTCATTTCCCCCTCTCCCCTCTCCTCTCCGTCACTAAGCCGCCAAATCAACCAACCAAACAACCAATTGCTCAACCGGACTTCAGCTTTCAGCTTTCAAATAAAACTTTTTTTTTTTTCTGCCCTTCTCCAAACCTATTATCCCGACAATTCAGCAGAAAAAAAAGAAAAAAGTAGGAATTTTGTCTCCCCTTCATTTGCAAAACTAACATTCAGTTTTCGCCTTATATCATTTTTATTGATTCCATTTAACCAAGAATTACTACAGTAAAAAAAAGGGTGAAAGAAAAATAAAAGTGAAAAAAAATGTGAAATGAGAAGAATATGCTGGAGACAAGAAAAAACACAATATTAAACTAAGAGACAGCATACAATAAAACTGTTAAAATAGTGTACAGTGTTATGCTGATGTTGAAGAGACGACGAGGAAGACAGAGACGTGTATATGTGTGCTTTGTGCGACTCGTTATTGATGGATGGATGGATGAATGAAATTGTGTGGTTGGTTGAGCAAACGACGTTGTCGCTCCATCGGAGAGAATATTTTGGTTTCAAAATTTCTCTGTCTTCTCTGTCCGTCTCTTCTGCTTACCACAGCACAAGGTAATAATAGCAAAAGCCATTACAGTCGCCAAAGTATTGCCATTATCGCCAACACTGCGATCGCTGGCGACAGCAGCAGCAATATTGACGGCGACGGCAATAGGCTACGGTAAAAACTCAGAATGTTTTCAATCAATGTAGGCAACAGCAGCAGCAGCAGCAGCAACGGCAATAGCAAACTGCAGCAATCACCGAGTGCCAACAGATAAACAATTTGCCAACAAATTCTAATGCTTGAAAAAAAAAAAAAAAGAAAAAGAAGATGCAAAAAATTGTGGTTATTTTACATGTCCTTTATATCCTGTTAATACTTTGTTCCTCATTCTTTCTTTCTTTTTTTTTTTTTTTTTATAACTTCAATTCTTCCCATTTCTCCATAACTGTACTTTACTACTTCCTATTTTATATTATTTCTACAAAAGAAAATTTCAGAAAGAAAAAATGGTATGACGGCCCCATCTTACAGCAAGCAAAGTTCGTTGCTATCAATACTATATGGTAACACTACAATGTCAGCCAGAAAAAAAAAAAAAGAAAAGATGTAAGACATGACAAAAATTATTACGCAAGTTAGGATGAATGAAATGACAAAAAAAAACCTGGTTATAAAAAAATTAAAATTTACTGAATGTTATGAGTAGCAAATGTGCGGTTAACAAACGTACAACTCTAAACAGTAGCTGTTCCACATTTTGCTGCAGTTTTTTTTTATTGTCAACTAATAAACATCAGATAATTGTACGTTCCTTCCTTCCTTCCTTTTTTTTTTTTATGCTTCTGCTTGATCAAACAAACTCAAGGCAGTCGTCACCCAGCTTATCTTAGTTTTTAAAAAGTAAATAGCGTTAACAGATAATGAAGAAAAATAAATAAATAATCTATAGCTTATAGAAAATAATGACAAAAATAACAGACGATAGTAATGATGATGGTGGTATTCCTGTCGAGGATGATAATGACAATGGCATAAATAAGTCACTCAAAAAAGTTTAGTCCAGAATTCTCAAGCTTAAAGATAAAAATGAAAAGTTCTCGGAAACTGGTAAAGAATTTACCATTTAGGCTCTTTCTCTTATGTGACTTCTTGTATTTGTGTATATTTTTGCGTTGGTATTTCAGTCACCCCTTTCAAACACTTCAATCACTTGA